CCTCCGGCAGAGCCCCCGGCTCCCAACAGCAGCGTGGAGGAGGACGGGATTAACCTGGAGGAGATCCGGGAATTCGCCAAGAACTTCAAGATCCGACGCTTGTCCCTCGGCCTGACGCAGACGCAGGTGGGCCAGGCCCTGACGGCCACCGAGGGCCCGGCCTACAGCCAGTCGGCCATCTGCAGGTACCGGGGGCTGTGGCCAGGGCCGCCCGGAGCCCTCCCCAGCAGGGATCCAGGAGAGGAGGGCTGCATGAAGGGAGGAAAATGGGGGAGAAGGAGGAAAATGGGGAAAAGGGAGGAAATTTGGAGGGGCGGGAGGAAAATTTGAGAGGAGGAAAAATAGGGAAAGGGAGGAAAATGCAAGGAAAAGGAGGAAGATGAGAGAAAGAGGAAAATGTGAGAAAGGGAGGAAAATCAGAGAAAGGAGAACTGGAGAAAAGGGGGAAAACTGGGGAAAGAAAGAAGACTAGAGGGAAAGGAGAAAAATGGGAGAAGAGAAAAATTAAGGAAAGGGAGGAAATAGGGAGGAAAAGGAGGAAATTGAGCAGAGGTGAGGGTGGGCTCACTGCCCGTGGAGCTCCTCACTGCAGGTTGCTCCTCGCCGTGGTCTCGCCCGCTGAAGGCAGTGGTGCCCCCAGCACCATCGCGGTGTCCCCCCAAGTGTTGCCCTCATTGTCACCGTGTCCCTGAGCATCCCTTGGTGCCCGCAGGTTTGAGAAGCTGGACATCACCCCCAAGAGCGCCCAGAAGCTGAAGCCGGTGCTGGAGAAGTGGCTGAGCGAAGCTGAGCTCCGTAACCAAGAAGGGCAACAAAACCTGATGGAATTCGTCGGGGGGGAGCCCTCCAAAAAGCGGAAGCGCCGCACTTCCTTCACCCCCCAGGCCATCGAGGCCCTCAACACCTACTTCGAGAAGAACGCCTTGCCCACGGGCCAGGAGATCACCGAGATCGCCAAGGAGCTCAACTACGACCGCGAGGTCGTGCGCGTCTGGTTCTGCAACCGCCGGCAGACCCTCAAGAACACCAGTAAACTCAACGTCTTTCAGATCCCCTGAAGCGGGCACGGGGACGGGGACGTTCCCCCTCCTCCTCGGCCCCCCCCAGCCTCCTGCCATCAGCACTTTTGCCATCAACTTGGTCCCCCAGCCCCGCGTTGGGGGCTGGGGTCTCCTCCACCCCACCGTGCCCGTAGGTGTGTCCGTGTGTCCGTCCCCCTTTCCTCCGCATCTCACATGACCTAAGCGTGTTCGCGTTGGTGTCACGCCTGCCTCACGCCTCCTCCTGCCTGCAGCGTGCGTGGTGACGGACCCCTGCCTGCACGTGCCGCCTCCCCTGCCCCTAGTGCTGTCCTCCCCCCGAAGAGGAGTGATTTTCATTTTTTGGCCGTTTTCCCGTGTTTCCGAGGTAGCGTCACGGTTCACTGGGGGTTAGCCCTGATTCGGTTTCACCCTTCGGATTGGGGTTGTCCCCTGCCTCGTGCCCGCTGGCATATGGGGCTTCTCGTGTGACCCCCACCACCACGAGGACGTCGCCATGGGGTGACCGGGGACTTCCCCTAGTTCCCCCCCATGGTGAGAAGGTTTTGAGG